TTATACATGCATAACTAAAGTTCAGCTGCAGTACTCTCTGACTGCAGAGATCACATGGGTAACATGTGAATGGAAATAAACCCTGTAGGTAAAAGAAAGAGGAATTTGGATGGAGATCAAAGATTAGCTTCATGCCACTCTTTCCTTCCACTTTTTACTATTCCATCTAAACTTGGTATTTTATGAGACCTTTTTTCTAATTCCCAAAGGGAAGAGTGTACTTAAATCAGAGTTTAGGTTCTCACTCTCTTTCCTTCTCCCTTCGCCCCTCTCTCTTTTAATGTGATTTGATTTTCCCAGTAGTGACTTTGGATTACTGCATTCTTAAGTTAGGAAGCAACTGTAGCAAACGTAGAATATACTGTTGTTTTATTATGATATTTTTAAAATTATAATCCTAGCCCCGGTTCAGCTACAGAATAAGCTACCTAGAAAATTATCTATGTAACTAGCAGGAATGTGTACCTCTTTATGATTTTTAGTCATTTTAGAATAGCACTAATTACTATGTGCTATTAATCTTGATTTAGACAAAGAACATTTTCTAAGCATAAGGATCAAAACGGAATTATTTACTTTCCTTTTATAGTCATTGAGTAATAAGGTAGAGCTTAGTGTGGTCAGTCTCATTCTTAAATGGCCTGTGGAAATGATTATTCTTGGCACTATGAACTCTGCAATAAATGAGAACTAGTGAGATGCTAGAAAACAGTGTTGACCCAATTTTTTAATGTTTTCTAGAATATTTTTAAGTATTTAAAAAAATAGTATATTTACAAAGTAGCTATTTTTGCTTTTACCCAAGTAGTAAATAGCAATTAAAATCACCATTACAATTCTTTACAGAGTGGTGGGAAAAAATTCATTCTGTTAGAACTGAAAGTTTAAGCCCTGTTGCTTCTTTTTTTATTTATTTAATTTTATTTTTTGCCAGTCCTTGGGATTGAACTCACAGCCTAAGCACTGTCCCTGAGCTTTTGTTTCTCAAGGCTAGCACTCTACCACAGTACCATTTCTGGCTTTTTCCGTTTATGTGGTACTGAGAAATTGAACCCAGGACTTCATGCATGCTAGGCAAGCACTCTACCACTAAGCTACATTCTCAGTCCAGCTCTGTTGTTTCTTGCTGGGTCACTTTGTTTACTCCAAATGTAAAATGGTATTATGTCATTGTTCTCAAGTGAAAACAACTAAGTTTAGGTGTAGGTTCTCACTGAACCTTTGCAGACTCTCTTTTCTTTTCAAACATAAGACTGAGAAGTAAGAAAAATCTAAAACTTGAAAACAGCACCATCTTACTTGCAGAGCATTTGCTTCTGTATTTAAGTTTATTTTTTCAGGTGTTCACAGCTTAATAAATATGGATATATATATATATATACATATGTTTGAACTATTACACATTTTATATGATTAGGGAAAATAAGATTATACCTTTTCTAACAGGATAATGTAAAAAAGCAAAAAGTTGGGGGATTTTTCTGTTTATTTGTCTGTTGTTGTTTGAACTCAAGGCCTCATGCTTGTTAGGTCAGTGCACTAACACTTGAGACACAAGTTTACAGTTCTCTGCTTTAGTTATTTTTTAGGCAAAGACTCCCGTTTTTTCCCTGGGCCAGTAGTAGACAGTGATCCTCACACTCTATGTAGTTGGGGTAAAAACTGAAGCTGATGACACTGTGGCTACTGATCCCAAACTTTCCATGTGACCCAGGCTTGAATATTAACAGTATCTTTGTACAGAAAAGAGAGTTAACAATTGTAACAAATAAGGAGAAGGAAATTTATTCTTTACCAGAATAAAGACAAAACACCCAACTGAAAAGAAAAGAATAAATGAGAAACTTAGCTATTACTAAAATAGAAGTAACTTTGAAGAGAGAAAGAGAAAGAAAACACAGAGACAGACAAACAAACCAGAAGCAAAAAGGAAGGAAGGAAGGAAGGAAGGAAGGAAGGAAAGAAGGGAAGGAGGGGGGGAAGAAGGAAGGAAGGAAGGAAGGGAGAGAGGGAGGGAGGGAAGAAGGGGCAGAAAGAAAAGAAAGAAAGAAAGAAAGAAAGAAAGAAAGAAAGAAAGAAAGAAAGAAAGAAAGAAAGAAAGAAAGAAGGAAGGAAGGAAGGGAGGGAAAGAAGGAAGGAAGGAAGGAAGGAGGGAAGGAAGGAAGGAAGGAAAAGAGAAAGGCAAGAAGAAATACAGAGAGAGAGGAAAAATGGGAAGGGAAGAGAAGTAGAACAAAATGAATTTGTTTTCCACTAAAGTCTGTAATCAGTTCTTCAATTCCATATTTACAATGTTTGAGCTTCAACCATCAAATAAACCCATAAACATTCCTGAAAACCTTCAGAATTTAAAATGGACCTTAGAAAGTAATTTCTCAACCCAAATTATAATTTACCAAGCTTCAGAGCTAGCTATCACACTCAGCCCAGGTGTCTGTCAGTTACGACTACCTTAATAAGCATTACAGAACGGTGGCTTAGAAACAGAGAATTATTTCTTGAATTTCTGGAGGTTACAGATTTGTGTAGGTTATGAAGTCAGAATCCCAGCATGGTCAGGCTTTGGCGGGTGCCCCCTATTTGGATTGAAGAAAGATGGTCTTTCTGTCTTCCAGTGGTAGAAAGAGGACTAGAAGTCTCTCTCTGGGATTACTTTTACAAAGGCATTGACTCATTTACAAGGATTTTTTGCCTAATTGCACTAATATATACCTCTTACTTAGGGACTGGATTTCAACATACGATTTTGAAGCAAAAAGGTAGCATAAACAGACCATTTCACTAAGCTTGAAATAAAATATTTCTCATATGTCTCTCATATAAAGTAGCATTCATTATGAACTCAGTATATATAATCTCAGAAAACAGAGAAACAAGTAAGTTAATTGAATTGTGAGATTAAATCAACAAAAAGAGAACAAATTAATTTGAAAGAATTTAAATATATAGTTTTTCTGAAAGAAATGAAAATAATAAATATATAAGAATAAATAAAAATAAAGCAATAAAAAAACATGAGCAAGGAGTATGACACTATGAAAATCATTTTGAAGGTATGAAATGCAACCAAATAGAAATTCAAAACTTTTTCCTGTCAATAACATGTTTCTGTAGAAATAAAAGAAGAAAAAGAGAAATTCTCAACTTAAACCATAAAATCCTTGAAATCAAAATATCAATCACATTGTTAAACAGAAAGTGTGGACAATGAGTCTGGACAAAAGAAAATAATGCGAGATTGAAATACATATAAGAAATATGAAAGGTATCTTTAAAAATGGAAGAGACTTTAAACTAACAAAATCTACTTCCATGTTATTGAAACTCCAAAGTAAGATAAAAGGAAATAAACAATTTTTTAGTAAATCCAAACACTTAAGTTAAAAAGTCTAAAACAGTACTATTCAGTAAGATATAGAAACTGAGTAGTCCTACAATCACCAAAAGAATCTAAGCACATTTAAAAATCTTCCTCAAAGGGAATACAAGACATAAATGATTTTACAAGATTTGTCTGTCCAACATTCTCTAGGGGTCAGCTAATGAAAAATAAAGCCCCACACTACATCAAAATTCAACATAGTCAACATAAGAATGGAAAATTACAGATTAATCCCACTCATGAACTTAGGCCAAAAAAAATCCTAAACAAAGCATTAATAAAATGAATCCAGCTGTGCATTAAAAAAAGATGATATATCACTAACAAGCTTATTTCACCCCACAAATCCAATGATGGCTTAACATTAGAAATATTTGTTAATGTAACTCACAATATTACCAAATTATAGTTGAAAATCCATCTAAAGAGATAATTCAAGCAAATTCTATAAGCATTTAATAAAACTTCACTTACACTGGAAATAAAATGCCCCTTTCTTATACTAAAGGAAACCATTAAAAATGCCATTATTCATCCACCCACTTTGCAAATCACACCAAATGTTGGCAAGGATGTGACTAAACTGGAATTCTTATTTACACTACTTCTAAGTGAAGGGGTTTGGTAATAGCCTTTTGGAAATAATCTGGCATTATTTAACAAATTTTTAACTCAACAATTTCAGACCAGCCTTGCATATGTGCACCAGAAGACTTCTTTAAGAATATTCATGACGACATTGTTTATAATAACAAAGGAACTAGAATTTTTGTAACAATAATTATAACAATATAAGTGGGTATCTGTCAATAGAAGGATGAGCAAATAAATTCTATAGATATAAATTCTATAGATATAAATTGGCTTACCAGATAGTAAAGTAGTATAGCTACATGCATCAGCACATATGAGCTAATGAAATGCATGGGAAGAACAAGTTTTTAAAAAGCATGAAAGCAGTTCTATGAAGTTTAAAAACAAGCAAATTCAAGCAAAAGAAAGCAATAGAGTTACAACATAAACTGAGGATCCAGATTTTTCCACAGACTATCCAAGAAAGGCAGATAGGGAGTTTCAACAGAATTGCTAATATTGTTTTCCTTAAGATAGAAGATGAGTGAGCAGGTGTTCAGCATGCTGTTATACTTTGTAATATGTAGAGAGATGTTATTTATGTTTTTTGCATTGATTAAATGTTTTGTAATAAAAGAACATCTGTAAAAATCTAATGTAATAATAAAGCATCTGGAGCTAACCTGTGTTAAGCAAATAGCATAGTTTGCCTTGATAATGCTAGCGGAATAATATTCAAGTTTTTCATCCAGATGCATACAGAATGTATTATGTCTTACTGCCTACTGGTGAGAAGCGATATTACATGGTACAAGTCTCATTGGGGATGCTTCTTAGATGTAGGTTTTGGACTTTAGTTCTTTCCTCTGTAAAATAAAGATGATAACAAAAGCTACCCCCATACAGTGGTGGTTGTTAGGTGAGTTAGCACCATAAAGTGCTGAGAGAAAAACATACACAGGAAAAGGAATGCTTAAGGTTAGGTTCTAGTGGGTCGGTTTCTCTTCATTTAATACTTTGAAATGTTCTCTTTGCATTACGGTAGGCTTTGGTCACTTGACGAAGCAATTGATGACATTGGCCGATGGGCGTGTGGCGCTGGCTCTGGAAGGAGGACACGACCTCACAGCCATCTGTGATGCATCAGAAGCCTGCGTAAATGCCCTTCTAGGAAATGAGGTAAAAATCTAAAAGTACAAAAGATCAGGGGGAAAGGACCATGGTGTATGAATGCAGATGTTAAATTGTTTTCTTTAGTCCAAGCATTCAGAAAGTTCAGTCCTCTTCTTACCATTCAGCAAGTAGGTAAGCCTTAAAAATAAGAGTGATTTATAGGCTATCTTGTTATGAGCAATAATATTGTACCACGTACAGAATCAATGAATACTCCTTTCAATCACGTTATTTACACAGCTCAAAAGTGACAGAAAAAAAATCTTTGCATGGGGAAAGTGAAGAGGGGGTAAGAATGTTTAATCTACTGACCCAATCAAATTTGTACCGAATTATTTAATAAGAAATTAATCTTAATTTTAATAAGTCTTAAATTGCTTGAAATTAATCTTAACAATCCTATAGGATTGTTCAGAAAAATAAAACCTCTTGAAACACAGCTCCACTTCTGGCTTTGTGGCAGTTAGCTGATCTTTGTGTTTCTTTTGTATGTTCTTTCCCCTGTGGGATATCCCTGTTGTCACTGTATTTGATTTTGGTACCCTGGTATTATATATAGATTTATTTGAATTAGGGAAAGGAAGGGGAACAACAGAATGGTGAGAGGAAGGACAAGGGTGAACTAATACAACAGTGACAACACAAGACAATACGTTGGAAATGATCTGTACAACTTAGATGAGGGGTTGGAGGGAGGGAAAGTAGGAGAAAAATGAAGGAAGGGGTAACAAGTTTGACAAGAAATGTACTTATTACCTTAGTTATGTAACTGTAACCTTGACATTTAAAAAAAGCTAAATAAAAATAAAATAAAACAGGGACTGGGAAGGTGGCTCAGTGGTAGAGTGCTTGCTTTGCATGCATGAGGCCCTGGGTTCGATTTCTCAGCACCACATAAGCAGAAAAAGCTGGAAGTGGTGCTGTGTCTCAAGTGGTAGAGCACCAGTCTTGAGCTGAAGAGCTGAGGGACAGCACTGAGGCCCAGAGTATAGGCCCGACGACCAACAATAAATAAATAAGTAATAAAATAAATAAATAAATAAATAGGCAAAAAAAGAGCTTCACAAACTTTTCTGCCCAGATTGGCTTCAAACTTCAACTGGCATGTGGCCTTGTACTTTCTATTTTTTAATGGTAACTCCTATCTGTGCCTGTGGAGTTATGGGGGAAAAAACTCTTTTTCACATAATTTTTATTGTCATCATTATGTTACAAACTAACAGTGCTTTAACATGATCATTTTGAACTATTTATTGAAGAATGTTTTTAATTTTAACAATATTGGAAAAAATGTAGGCGCTGTTCAAATACATAATTTTGTAGTATATTTTAGAATGCACAGTTACACAATAGGTTCAATTATCTAATGATTAATATCAACAATGGATTGCTGTTTCAGATTGCATATAATTCAAGGTGTCAAAGATTTTCTAAGTAGTCTGATGTTTGTGAGCCAATAATGTCAACTAGGATATTGCATTCTGTGTGTGTGTGTGTGTGTGTGTGTGTGTATGTGTGTTGTGTATCAATAAAGGTCAATAAAGAAGTGAAAATAAGTACTGTATCTATTTTATCAGTTAACGCTAGGCACTCAGCTTGACTACTAGATAGCTATTGTCTTACAAGGTCATGTACATTCTCCAATAAATTATTTGATTCTGAATACTTCAGAAACATTTCAGAGAAGCAGACTTTAATATTTAAGTTATAAAGGCTTACACCAGATGTGCAGAAAATCAGAGTGGGTTATGGATTGTGGCTCATAGATGACTGACCTGCTCAAAAGGAAATGTTAACCTGGCTACAAAAGCAAACTACTTTTCTGCATATGTTGAAGGAAATTATAGCTCTCAGTGTCTTTCTTTAAACAGGTCCATTCAAATGAAAGTATCTCTTTTGGATTTTTGTAATCTGCCTTTGGCCTGCTCTATTCCTCCAAGGATGGAATAATTTCTCTTATAATCTTTTTTAAAGAATGATCAGATAAAGAAAGGAGTAACAGTCATTGCTAATCCTAACTCTGCACATATTGGTGTAGATAATGCTTAAAAATAAAAATAAATAAAATGTAAACAATTATGTAAATAATAGCTGGAATGAAAATAATAACTGAAATTATTTTTTGGTTAATAGTGACTATTTAATTGACTAATTTACTGGATGAAATTCTGATCCAGTGGTTTTAGTAACAAACACCATCTTGTCTTTTGGTTGACCATCTTCAATTTCATAAATATATTCTAAAATTGTTCATTATGAACTAAAGAAAGAAAAATTTTAAATCTATGTATTTCTGTATTTTTTCCTGTAAGGTTTCTTAAGGACATAAACAAGAATATAGATTTCTCACAAATGCTTTAAGGCTAACAGATGGGGTAGGGATATTAAACATGGAAAGATAAATTTCATTGTGTCATATCTATCCTCACACAGAGGAGAAAAACTAAGAAAAAGAAGGATTTCTAAGATGAAAAATGGAAGAAAAATACAAATGTGTTGTACATTATAATTCATTTGGAAAAAGGAAATGAAAATGTAATACTTGAAACAACTTAAGAAACAAAGAGTTCTTCTCACTTTCATTGACAATATAATTTATAATTCAAGGCCTGGTTTATGGTGCTTTTTGCAGGTCAAAGATCATCATGACTACATTGAAGGTTTAAATTTCATTTCTTTCAAAAAATAATATAGAATGCTTATTGCATGCACCTCACTATTTTAAAAAGTGCCTACACACAGTTTTCATAGCAGTTTTATGTGATAGTCTCTAGGTAAGAAAGTTAAAAAGGAGTCTTTCGTATGCCAATTACTGCAATTTCAAATCCCAACTTTCCTCCAAGCCCCCTTTCAAGTGATTAATAGAGCAATTATAACTTATTATCTGGGATTTCACTTTTACAAACAACAAAACGTAGCAAAATTTGAGCTTAAAATGCTGGCAGAATCCATTCTGGCTTCTCAACACTGAACATGCAATTGAACTCAAATTAGAAAGGTCAAGAAGGGCCTTTTTGAGAGACTCTGCACTTTGTCAGATGTATTTATTCATGTGCAGAGGATTAGAATTCATAAACATTTTGCCAGTTTTTTGAATGCTATTTCTTTTCCTTGTTGTTCTTGGCTAGGTCATGTCAATACAGCAAAATGCTGTTCCTTATAGCTTGTGATCAGCAAAATGATATGTATTACATAACCCAAAGGAATTGTAAAATCAGCAGGAACTGTTGGCCTAACATTTCAGCATAGACACATATATACATGGTACCTAAAACCTTGCTCTTTTACAAATCAAGTTATCTGAGTACAGTACCCTAAACAGGCATTTTCTTCTTTTTCAATATTTTTATCTCAAAGTGATCTTCTTAGAAAAACATCTCCTAACTCTTCTTTTAAGAAATATGTACAGGGTCAGTCAAAATAATCTACTATTGGATTAAAACTAATTTGAGCATGGTACAGGAAATTCCTAGAGGCAACTGATTTTGAAGACATAGCACAGTCCATTTTTCCCCTTTTACTTGGCAACGTTTAGAACTTAAATTTATCAGTCCAATCGGTGTATGATGAATTTTTCTTAAACTTTTTCACTGAAGAATTTAGAAACACCAGCTTGGAGTTTGTAAGTAATCGACGTGCATATCTAAATGAGAAGAATCAAGAGGTTGGTAAATCTTCAAGGATGCCTCTGTGATTAGTCATTTAGAGTTTAGGATTATTTATAGAAACCTGTGTGAAATTCCCCCAGAGAATTTGATTTGGGTAATCTGTATTGGAGCTGGTTGGCAAACAATGTCACAGTTGCTTTAAGGCCACATATGCAAAGCCAATTAGTAGCACCCTAGGTTGCTTCCTCTGAAAGAAATTTTCTTAAGAGGTGAGAAAAGCTTTAAGCAGTTACCATCTCTATGGAATCCAAAAGAAAAACATTAGAAATCTTCAAGCAAGTAAAGGAAAGGAGAAGCCATAATATGTGGTAGAAATGAAGATTTGGTAGTGAGTTGAGAATACGGCTGTTAAAAGACCACCTGTCAAAACAGAATACATGATGGTTTTAAGAGACAAAGACGGACACACAGAGACAGAGAAAGGGAGAGGGAAAGGGAGAGAGACAGCTAGTGTGGGGGGAGCATAATGTGGTAGAAGCCTTGGTGATGAGAACATGGCCTTTAAAGACTACCTTTCAAAACAATAATGGTTTTAAGGGAGAAAGAGACAGACCCACAGACAAAAAGACATACAAACACACTAAGAGAAGAGGAAAGGGAAATAGAGAGGAGAAAGGAGAGAGACAGAGAAGCAAGACAGAGACAGAGATGGGGATGGAGAGACAGGGGGAGGGGAGGAAAGGGAGAGAGGGAAAAAGAAAGAGAAATATTCTCACAAGTTATTGAGATTATGTTCCAGACTCCAAATATGAAAATTTAGGAATACAGAGAATGTGAACTCCTGATTTCCCTCAGGCTTCTAAAGGTCGCATATTCGATTTCTCTCTCCTTTTCCTTTTCCTTTTCCTTTTCCCTTCCCTTCCCTTCCCTTCCTTTCCCTTCCCTTCCCTTCCCCTTTTGTCCTTTCCTTCTGTTTCCTTCCTTCTTTGTCTCTCTATCTTTCCCTTCCTTCTCTTCATTTCTTTCTAATAACTACTGTCTCCTCTTGAGTATACCCAGCTGCTTTCATTTGACTTGGATTTCACAAACAGTGGCTAAACTTAGTGATTGTGTTTGTTGATAATCTTTTTAGGATGACTTTTTGCTCTAAAGCAACTGAAACACTCTCTTGAACTGACTCTAGTAAGTGTTGACAACCACCCCTGAGGTGAACCCTGGAGGTGCTGTTGTCCAAGTTGCTCATCAGGGGTCTGTTTGCATTGGATTTTGAGTAGGGAAGTTGTTTTGCCATCTTTTTCATCCTTTAGATTATGTATGGCTGGGGAATTGGTGTGAATCTGGGAAAGCTTACAAGCGCCTAAATACTTGAAATTCATGAGTAGAAAGAAGAACAGAACA